TGGCCAATCTACTACATGTTGTTGCACAGAAGCTCATTTTGTGTGTGTGTCACTGAGCAAGGAGTTTCTCAGAAGGTTACTAGGATAAAACAGCTAGAAAAGGAAAGGATAAAAGGGACATATAAACAGACATCAAACAGAGAGCCTACGTTAGGGATAGCTACTTAGGACTTACAGTCAGCAATATTTTGCCCTAGTAAATCTCTCACGTTGCCTTTCTTTATATTTGCCTACTTTGGGACTATCAAAGAGTTGGGGAGTGAGGATATTTATTTAGTGAATGTGACAACCAAACCAACTTTGTATGTCTGGAAAGCAAGAGAGTAGGCTGGGCTGATGATCCCAGAGGAAATGGACTGGGATATTGAGTCAAAAGTTTTATCATTATTATCATCAGAAGCAAGGGTTATAACACAGTGTCAGGCCCTAATTAAATTTTGAAGTCTGAATGGTGAAAGGGATTCCTTCAAAGGAAGGAAGATAGTAAAGACAAGTGATATAATGAGCATTTAAGCTCAAACTCACATTAAGTAGGAAGAGTCATTGTCTTCATTCAACATATAAGGAAAGAGAGACAAAAGGCTGCTCATACACCTTTCCATATTGTGGAAACTTCCAGTGTTTGAATTATTTTGCATAATTTTCTATAAATTTCTTGATTTCCATATTATTTGCTTGTGGGCAGAGAGAAATGGTATGTAGATTAAATTCAGAAAGGTCTCAATTGTTACAGGTATCTGAAAGTTAAAGAAGACTGCCAGCTCCTCCTGGATCTTTTATTTTCCGATTTTCTGATATCTTAATTAAGTGGATAACTACATCATAAATAAGTTCTAGAAATGAAAGTTCTTAGGAAAATAATGGAAGCCAGTTGCTCCAATCAAACTTTAATGTTGAAGAGATACTTAAAACTGGGAAGTGTTCATCTCAACATCAAAACCTTTTAGATAAACCAACACAGTAGCATTGGTACCTTGGACTAAATCAAAACTCCAATGCCGGACTGTGTATCTGTGATTTCCTTGCTGGATTTCTCACATGGCTTCTTTACACACTGTGGCACAATGCTTAAGTTAGGAGGTGTTACCTGGTAGTTCCTCTGCCCATTTTGGCAGCAAGCAATAGTCACACCTCCTTCCCACACTCCTCAAAAGAAGGGGGCGGGCAGTTACCCCTCCCACCCAATCAGTTGACCTTATCTGCATGAGAGGGAGGGGCTAAGGATATACAAGCCGAGAAAGCCATGAGGTAGCCCTCTCGCCATTCTATGTTGGCATCAGGAAGTCAAACAGGACCTATGTTTGAGCATGGGCTTTCCAATGCAGCTGTAAATGCAGGGGGTGAGGGGCTCCTACTCTTCTGTAAGTAAACCAGCAACCCTTGCTCAGGAAGCCCAATAAACGTGGTGGCTTTGGTGAATTCTTGCTTCCTGTTGTCTTTAGGATGGTGGGAGGAGGGAACCAGACTCCACGCTAGCCTTCTAGCAGTGAATTTGACTTTACAGGAAGTATTCTAAATTTCACAGTATAGTTCTTAGAATTGTACGTTTCTATGGGATGTGATAAGTTTAGCAACTGAAGTAAAAAATCATTCAAGCATATTCTCTACTTTCTCTTCTATCATTTTCAGGATATCAAGACCCACAAGACCCACAACTGGTCATCATGCAGAAACTATGAGACTGTGAACTCCTCAGTCATAAATGAGACATGTAGATCAAACCTCCTCCCTCCAAGACTTAGGGATCTTCACAGAGGATGGAGCAGAGAGGTTGTAAGAGGTGGAGGTAATGAATGAACACAAGGAAACTGCTTTCCAGACATAAGAGTTGCACATGTGAACTCTTAGCAGTTGCTAGAGTGTGCACAAGACCTGCACAATCTCAAAGCAGACAAAGACCCAGCATGGAGGTCAAGTGAGCACCAATGTCCACCCCCTAGCTGAGGAGCAAGTGATGATTGATAGCTTCTGGGAGAGGGAATGTCAGTTCTCCTTGGGGTGTTATCACTGATAGGTCAACCAGGTTCCAGGGGATGAACCCACACCAAAGAATATTTTGGCAATACAAATTAGACTCCATAAGGTTTGCAAAAATAGAGGACATGAAGCTGGGTGGGTGGGGAGTTGGATTTGAGAGAAGGCCACGGAAAGGGAGAATATGATCAATGTACATTGTATGAAATTATGAAGAATCAATAAAAATATTATAAAAAAGAAGTAAAAATTCATTCAGTGATTTTATAGATTAAGGAGGGGCTCTGAAACTTTCAAGAACTATTCTAACACTTCTGTTCTGGGCCATACCTGTCTTATGGCTTTTTATTGTTCCTTCTATGCCAAGGCTTTTACATTGTCCACTTCAACTGTAGTAAGGCAACACAGTGCAAGTGCGCCGAAGATGGCGCAATAGTTCTCACATGTCAGCACGTACAGAGTCATTGAATGCAGCCATTAAAGCAGGCCTGTGTCTGAGCTAGTGCTTCCCATTCCATCCTAGGGCAGGGCCTGAGAACACAGACTTCGGCATTTCCGGAGAATGATGATCAAAGATTAATACTTAGAGGACTACTGAATTAGTTGTAATCATTTCCACACTATTAAAACTTCAGTCTTTTATTTTCTGAATCTGAAGTTACTCTGTTCTTAGAATGAGGGCATCAAACACCATTGTCAGGTTGAATGTCTGTTGTATATGTTCTTTTATTTATTTTTATTATAGTTGTCAATGAAAATTCCGAGAAAGTACCTGTACTTTTCTCTGAACCTTTGGCAAGGGTGATTAGCTGATTAGAACTTTACAGATTGTGGGAAGGTTGGAACGTTGCAGGTCCAGAGCTGAATTTCAATTTATCTTACAATTTATCTTTAGCCCTTTCTTTATAACCTCTCTTTTTCCATCTCCGTGTCTGAGCTAACATTCTTGTGACTGCATTTTGAAATGTATTTACTTAGCAAATCCGAGTTTCCACCAACCAAAGAACTAAGAAGGTCACCAGGTCGCATTTTTTGAAGTGTCACTTGCAATGATGAAGTAACCATGAAGAAGAGATAAAAAATCTAGGCATTTGTGATTCTAATTATAGGAATTCAAAATATTCAGTGAACAAAAATCTACTAGAACTATAAATAGAAACAGATGACCTCAAGTTATAATCAGTGATTTTTGTTTTCCATTACAATGATTAGATTTTGTAGGTATTTTAGAGAGAATATATTAAAACCGTTTTACTTTAGATTCTTAAAACTAATCAACCAACGGGAACAAATGAAGGTTTTATTTTCTTTTTTTGTGTGAAACAAAGTTGGAGATGGAAAATAAAGTAGGATTAAGCAGAGATATTAAAAAGTAGAGCAGAGGATCTGGATAGATGGCTCAACGGTCAGGAGCACTGGCTGCTCTTGTAGAAGACTGGGATTCAATTTCCAACATCCACATGGCATCTAACAACAGTTCGTAATTCTAGTTCCAGGAGAATTCAACACCTTTTTTTTTACTTCCACAGGCATTGTACAACATGGGTGCACTTACATACATGTAGGCAATACACTCATACACATAAAATTAAAAAGCAATAGATAAAACATTAAATAAAATAATAAGTAGGTGAGAGTTATGAAAGAGAGAGACGGTAGTACTGGCTCTACTGTGCATGGGCTACTCAGGAAATATTCACCATAATGAACATTTTAAAAAGAATAGAAAATATTTGTCAAGACATTTCACATTCTTGTCACAAAGTATATCTTTAAAAATAAATATACTAATGAACATAATATATGATCCATGAAATAGCTGATAACCTAATAGTTCAACTATAATACAGGTTTAGGCAAAAATATCACAGGTACTCTTAGAACATTATTGTAGTATTAAAATACCATAATCATGAGAATTCACTTCACCATTTACTCCTCTATCCCTTCCTGTCAAAACCCTGGCCCAGATAATCTTTTATCTCCTTGCTATGTTTACTCATCTGACTATTCTGGGAGTACTGTTAATTATATCTCTATATATGTAATTATATATTGTTCATTCAACAGTTTGCCATCACCCCACATCTTCAATTACACCAGTCTCTGATGCCCACAATTCTATTTCTTAATTTCTGTTACACAAACTTTTAGAAATGTTTATTGATTTATTAACTTTGTTATTGTACAACAATAATTGGTTTAATTGGTTTTATTATGACATTGTCATACATATGTATCTCTGTAGTTCGCCCACATTCCCTTTGCTTTTCCTTGTCCCACCTCCCTGGCATATACACATGTGTGTGTGTGTGTGTGTGTATACATAAATATATGTGCATTTAAGTCTAGATTCTATGTATGTGAGAAAACATAAATGTTTTCTTTTATTCTCCATGACTGTCTTTTACTTCCCTGTTCCCTTTATTCCTCTTCCTCTCCCAAGTGTCCCCTTCCTCCACTCCCACATTCTTGTCTATTTCTTTCTAGAATCAAGATTTGTGTGTGTGTGTGTGTCTTATTTTGCTTAAGATTGTGATCTCCAGTTCCATCCACTTCCTAGTCTATAATCTCATTATTTTTTTCTATTCCCTCTCCCTACTTGTGTTCCTGTAATAGACTTCCTGTAATAGAGGTCAGGGAGCTGAGCTGCTTCTTACAGACAACACAAAGTTTTACCACATGGAATTTAAAGCAAACATATAATTTATAATTTGTATGTATGTACCACATACCTCAGTCATCTAAGTAGCTACTTAAGAGGAATAAAAGCCAGCACATGTCCATGCAAAGTCCTTAAGAAGTGCTCAGAACACTTTTAGTTGTCTTATCAAATATCTGGAAATAATCTGGTTAGTCCTCTAGAGATGAATGAAAAAATATACTCTAGTATGGTCATACAATGTCTTACTTCCCAGTTCTCAAACAAGGTGATGTTGGTACCAATGGCAGTGTGGACAGATATTTAAACAAGAGGCACATCTTTTCTAGATTTGATGCTCAATTGCATTTCTGTGTTCCAGAGTTCATAGGCAGCACTGATTCCTCCATCTTATGCAGTATCCATAATCATAGTCATCATCATCACAATGTATTTTACATATTCCTCTCACGTTTTGGCATCTCTCAAGTCTGTACTTTGGTTTAACGTGACTTCTGACTGCAACAAAACAAAACAACAACAACAACAAAACACACAATGAAAGTAGACTGGAAATGAACTGGAAGAAGAGGGGGACCCATGGGTGGGGGAAGGTGACAAGAGAGGGAGATGGGTGGTTGAGTATGTTCACAGTACATTATAATATGTATGAAAACATAATAATCAAACCCATTCGATGTATAGTTTACATGTGCTAAAAACCAAGAACATTGATAAATGCATTTAAAGACATAATGTTACCACTCTAACTCATTTGAGTCAAATACAACCTGATCATGAAATAATCAGAATCCAGGAAGTGGGGAGGAGCAAGAAGAACTGTTTTTTTCTTTTTTCCTACAACTTAGCAGTCATTTGAGAAAGTGAAAAAGCTATAAACATTTTATTTGCATCTTGATATGTTTGATCCTGTCTTAAATCTCACACCATCAACACTCACCTTGAATGTCAGCTGGATCCTGGGGTTTTTGACCATATCATTTTTATTCTCCATTTATTAACTCCATTTATTAATTGACTGGCCTATCCATTTATTAAAATATTCATAGTTTACAAAGCTTGTAAATCCAGTGCTTACCTGTTTTAAACCTAATCTCACTGTCTTTACCAGTACCCTTTGCCTACTGTTTTGCGCTTCATTTCAGTGCTTTCTTTTAATTGAAACCTGCTTTCATTCTACCAGAATGTACCATTCTTTTCACAAACCAACAGTAACACTTGATGAAGAACATAACACAAGCTAGCATTTAAGTATAAGCATTTTTCTACTGTTATGTAGTTTATGTTCTAGCAGATTATTCTATAAACATACCGTAATTTTGATTTGTTCTAATTCTTGACAGCTTTGCCCACTGTAGCTCAGCAATGATGACACATTGGTTATACAAATAATTAATGACAGAGTTGTTGAAGAGGCTAAAGTACTTTTAACACATGAAGATAAGTATCGCTACATATATATTAAATTGGCTTTAATGAGATACCCAAAACAATGAAAAAATGTTCGGAGATTCTAAAGTCATTCCTCTGTACATCAAACTATAAATGTTTAATGTATTCATGCATTAAGTTATAGTAAAAGCAAGTAGGATTTGTTATTTTAAGATTTTCTTGTTAATTCAATTTATGGGCTGTGGAGATGGATCAGCAGTTAAGAACACTAGCTGCTCTTGGAGAGGACACAGATTTGATTCCCAGCACCCACATAGCAGCTAGCAATGTCACTCCAGTTCCAAGAGATCCCACGCCTTCTTCTGACTTCCACAAGCATTGCACGACATGGCTGCACTTACGTGCATGCAGGCAATACACTCATACAAATAACAAAATTTAAAAATACCTCCCAAAATTCGAGAATAAAATAAAGCAAACTTAGATTTAAATTATATCCCCATATGGGCCCTTCAGTCTGCATATGACCTAAATGAAATTCAGGTAGGTTCTTCATTTCAGTCAGTGAGATGATTACTTGACTTTTCAGTATTCTCCAAGCTTTAGTGAGGAAAAGGCACAAATGTCTTGAAGTTTCTAAAGTGTTAACTTTATTGAATTGAATGAAGTTGGTGGAAAACAGAAGGAAATTAAAGTAGAAGTGACTGTTAGGAGGGTTCTTTTACATGAATATATACATTTCCTTAGGGAGCTAGAAGCTAATTTATGAAGACAGAGTTCCTGGCCACTGGTGAATTTCAGTGAAACTTAAAGTCTTTTCAGAACCATTTAATGTAATTTAAGGTAGCAAAGAGTCTTCTCCTTGACTGTATTTCAGTTTCTTTTTTTAAACTTTTGCTGGGACTTTAATTAGCATTCCTGAGCTATTATATCTTGACAACTTTACAAATTTATGGTAATTTTTTCAGATGCAATAAATTTTAAAAAAGAGAAATATGGCTTTATCTTAATCACTGATAATATAATTTATATTACTAATAATATGAAATTCACTAATGCCTTTAGTATATTATTTAAAAGAAAAAATGAGTAATATCCCAAATCTATAAAATCTTGTGATCTTGAAACAAAAGACAGATTGTAAATGAGTTTTGTTATTTCATTGTGTGTGTGTGTGTATGTGTGTGTGTGTGTGTGTGTGTGTGTGTGTGTGTGTGTGTGTGTGTAATGCAGAGGTTGATGAGAGAACCTTTCTTAATATTTTGCCGTTTAGGTTATTGAGGCAGAGACTCTCACTGAACCCAGAGCTCGCCAACTGGCTAGTCAATTGCTAGTCAGCTTGCCTCATGGATCTCCGACCAACCTCTGCCAACCAAGAGCTGGCTTTGCAGTTGGGCCACCACACCTGCCTGGCTTTTATGTGCATGCTAAGAATCTAAATGCTGATCCTCATACATGGGCAGCAAGTACTTTATCTGCTGAGAGATCTCACTAGTTCCAATCATTTGTTTTCTTAGTTGTATATTATATAGCATTAAATAATTACAAATTTAGTATGTATACATTATGGATGAGAATGGTATTCCATAATATTCTTATGAAAATTGATTTATAATATGCATAAACACAAACAATAATATATGTAGATCAATGAGTATGTGAGTGTTCATGTGAGGTGCTTGAAATTAAACAATATTTATCACATTAAAATCGAGATAGGTGATTGGTGGGAACACACAGTATTTCCTCACTGACTTATATACCTCAGCACATTTTATAACTTATTAGAAAAGTAAGGCTGTTGATATCTAGCTTTGATGAAAAGAGAAAAAACTCAAGTTCTGATGGCTGTCTATCCAGAAAATATATTTCAGGCAGATTCCTTGAACCTACTTCAGCCATAAATCTGTTCAAAAGAGTAAGCAGCAATTTTCAGCAAGCCCCTTGCACACACATTCATAGGAACACTTTGCTGGAAACCAGGAGGTTAAAAATTCAGTGGCTCTGTACACCTGATTCAATGTTAGCTTTCCTGCATACTTTGGTGACTCAGTTCTTCATCCTGTCAGGGGAGATGTCATATGTTCATATGACATATGCATATACATATATTTGTATATGTATGTATAGCCTTACTTCCTAGGAAATAACTGCTTTATCAGTTATTTCTAGTTTGGTCTTATGAAGCCTCATGAAAACAGAGTCGGGGCTGGAAAGATGGCTCAGCAGTTAAGGACACTGGCTGCTCTTGCAGAGGACCCTGTTCAGTTTCCAACATCCACGTGGTAGCTAACAACCACGCATAACTCCAGGTCCAGGGGATCTGATGCCATTTTCTGACCTCCACGGGCACTGTATGGCATGGGTGCACTTACACCCATGCAGGCAATACACTCATACACATAAAATAATAATAAATAAATTTTTAAATATTAAAAAAAAGAATCAGAACTGAAAATATGAGGTTAGGCTTGAGAATTTGCCTGCTCCTGTTAGGTGACATTGAGTCTAAGACATACTTGAAAAGGAAATACTCTTTCAAAATTCAATAGTAATAAGCTGCTAGTTGTTCTGTTTACTTATTATGCTAAATTATACAAATGACTTCATTTGCAAGGTTTCTTTTTATTGAATTGGGATTATTGTGAAATTTAAAAATACATAATGAAATAAAGTATGTAAAGTTTTCTTTTACTGTGAAAATTAATGAGCATTCAAAACTATTTTAGTTGCTTTTGTCTTTATTTCTCTCTTGGATTCGTGGGAAAACTTGAACTTAAGTGAAGCATTGATGATCAGTGTTTACGTCTTACTGTGCACGTGCAGATACAGCTGTAGACAGTATAGTGGGTGCTATTCTGTAAGTACAAACTTCTATCCTGAAGCCTCAATAGACCATATCTACCCTGTGGCCCTCATTTATATGAATTTGTTTCAGTATATAGTAAATGCTCCAAAGACCATATTCAATATATGTTAACTGAACAGGTGACTGAGTGAAAATATTAATATAGATGAGACATATTTTTATGTGTAATGAAATTCTCCCTGACCTTTGTTACTAGTGGTCCAATAATTCCTGTGTCAGTTGAACAAATTACTTATGTTTGTTTCCTGAACTGTGAGCATTATTTAATTTCCTACTTCAGGGGGTTGTGTGCAACCATTTGGGATGACAATATACAAATGTTTTGTAGTCCATAGTTCAAAAATTAAATTTTCATTTTTCTTCGTATGAGAGATTTAAAAGTTTGTGGCAGGTTAAACTAACCTTTCATGAATTTACAAATTTTTCTTCACTTCGTTTATGAGGAGTCTCCAAAAGAACAAGTTTAATAAAAGTTTCGAAAGTTGTTGGATTGTCTCTGTGTTTTAATCTTTATTGACTCCAAACTGGCTTGCAATGCATGCCTAATTAATGTTTACAAATGCGCAAATAAATGAGGAGGTCATGCAATGTGGAACTCATATGTTATCAGTGATTGTTCTTTTTTCCTTTTTTTTTTTTTTTTTTTTTGAGACAGGGTCTCACTATGTAGCCCTAGACGGCCTGGAACTTTCTATGTAGACATGGCTGGTCTCAAACTTATGGAGATTCATCTCCCTCTGCATCCCAAGTGCTGAGATTAAACACGTACACCACCACTCCCAGCTTATGTTAGCAATTTTGAAGAATATATCATAATTCATTTTAATATTTATTAAATTGACTATTAATAATAAAAGTTCAATTTGTGATCAATATATATCAGATCTTAACACAAACAAAAGACCCATGACAATGAGGAGATAGAACTCCTGAAAAGGTCGGGTTTGGATATTTCATGTGTGAATCTAATTATTTTCTTCCTCCTCTGAGCTAGATTTGATCATGACAAATATCACTTTAATATAATATCTTTAATTGATTTAAATACATATTGAACTATGAAATGACAACCTCAACACTATGTAGTCTGTTTATCAGAGACATTGCTAGGCAAAAGTGGCAGTAAGTTGTTGAATACACCCATAATATTAATGCCAATTTTGTACCAGTGGGCACATCTTAGTCTGCTTCATAAGATGGAGCCCATACCTGACACGGATATCAGGCCTAGGAACCTGAGGCTAGACAATTCACAGGTTATAGGGGAGAGCCTAATACTATTATTCTGCTTAATAGGTATAATATTAAACTGACTCCTAATGACTTATTGATATATCCATACATTAATGCAGCTCTCAACTCTCATCAGAAAAACTACTCTATCCAGAAGATGGTGATTAACATCAAAACTCACATTTGGCCTATGTGCAGAGAATTAGAGGCTGCAGAGTGCTGATCCCTAAATAGGACACTAGGACACCTACATCAAACTTCTGCCTTCCAAGTATCAGTGATCATTGTGGACCAGGGAGTGGAATGACTGCAAGAGCAAGATGTGGATGGCCACAAAGGAAACAGAAATTTCCAGACAGCTAGGTAGTTACTCATATGAATTCACAGCAATGATGATGCCATGCACAAGTCCCATGTAAGCTCAAGTCAGACAAAATTCAGGCATAGATGTGGCAAAGTGAGTTAAAACCCAAACCCTACCTGAGTAACTACTGGAAATTTCTAGTCCTTTCTACTGGGCAGGGAAGAGTCAGTCTCATTAAGGAGTGAGGCTCTTGATAGATTAGCCAGGAGCCAGTGGATGGGCCCACATGGAAGGTCATTTATGGACACAAATATGACTCTATGGGCATTAATATATAGTATATATTATATATAACAAAGCATATATTATGTATACTATTGTATATCATATATATGTATTACACGAAATTAGGCAGGAGGTAGTAAAAGGGTTCCGATAAGGGATGTGATCTAAATATGATCAAAATACATTGTATGGAATTTACAAAACTGTAATAAAAAATGGACACAAATATGACTCTATGGGCATTAATATATAGTATATATTATATATAACAAAGCATATATTATGTATACTATTGTATATCATATATATGTATTACACGAAATTAGGCAGGAGGTAGTAAAAGGGTTCCGATAAGGGATGTGATCTAAATATGATCAAAATACATTGTATGGAATTTACAAAACTGTAATAAAAAACAGATATTAAGCTCAAAGTGAAGAAAACTTCACTTCAGAGG